AAGATCAGATAATGTTGTCAAACATACTTGATAATTCAATGGATCAAGAAATGATTCCTGGTCCAAATGGGAGTTATGAATCCCAAAATCCTATAGAGGAAACTGAACTTCAAATTCGTAAGAGTACAAGAAAAGATGTACCTAAATGATCTTATGAGATAGAGGATTATGTAAGGATCAAGAAATGATTCCTGATTCAAGTGGGAGTTATGAATCAAAATCCTATCGAGGAAACTGAACTTCAAATTCGTAAGAGTACAAGAAAAGGTGTACCTAAACGATCTTATGAGATTGAGAATTATGTTTTCTTGGTATCTCCTACAACATTAAATGTACCAAATTCTGTAATAGAGGCCTTATCGAGCCCTGAAAGGTAAGAATGGTTAAAAGCGATGAAAGAAGAATTAGAGTCCATGAAAACCAACAAAAGTCTGGGATCTAGTTGACTTTCCTAAGGTACGTAAAACTATTGGAAATAAATGGATTCTTAAAGTTAAACGTAAATCGGATGGATCAATAGAAAGACAAAGCACGATTGGTGGCAAAAGGTTTACTCAAGAAGTTGGAATAGACTATGAGGAAAGTTTTTCTCCAGTTGTGAAGTTTACTTTTATACGATTTCTTTTAGCTATTGTTGCACGTTTAGATCTAGAATTACACCAAATGGATGTGAAGACCGCTTTTCTCAATAGAGAATTAAACGAGGAAATCTACATGGAACAACCAGTAGGTTTCATTGTTAAAGGTCAAGAAAAGAAAGTATGTAAATTGAGAAGATCAATTTATGGCCTAAAGCAATCTTCAAGACAGTGGTATCTAAGATTTCATAAAAAGGTGATGTCATTTGATTTCACCATGATCGATAAAGACTATTGCATCTATGTGAAAAAGTCCAATGGAAATTTTGTAGTTCTTTCTCTTTACGTAGATGATATTTTATTAGCTGGAAATAATTTGGAGTATGTGAAAACTGTCAAGTCATGGCTTTTAAAATCGTTTGATATGAAAGATATGGGTGAAGCAGACTATATATTGGGTGTTAAGATCCAAAGAGATTTTTCCAAGAAATTTTTGAGTTTACCTCAAGAAACTTATATAAAGACAATATTGAAACGTTTTCGAATGAATAGTTGCAAATCCATGGATACTCCTGTAGCAAGGGGTGAAACTTTAAGCTTTGAAATGTGTCCAAAGACTGAAAAAGAAAAGGAAGACATGTCTCGAGTTCCTTATTCTAGTGTTATCGGGAGTTTGATATATGTTATAATGTGTACTCGCCCAGACATTTGTTATGCCGTAAGTCTAGTTAGCAGGTATCAATCCAATTCTAGAAGAGATCATTGGAAAGCAGTAAAGAGAATATTCCGATACCTGAAGGGAACTGCAAATCATACACTGTGTTATAGTGGATCTGATTTATTCATAAGAGGTTATACAGATGCAGATTGGGCTGGTGACCGGGATGATAGAAAATCAACATCCAGTTATGCTTTCTTACTAAATGGTGGTGTTATTTCATGGAAAAGTAAAAAGCAAACTTGCACAGCTCTTTCAACCATGGAATCTGAATTTGTGGTTGCTAAATGGTAGTGCTATTTCATGGAAAAGTAAAAAAGCAAACTTGCACAGCTCTTTCAACCATGGAATCTGAATTTGTGGCTTGTGCGTCTGCAGTACAAGAAGTTGTTTGGTTAAAGAGATTCTTTGAGCATTTGAGTATTGCAAAGAATTCTAAGGTTCCCATGATTCTCTATTATGATAGTCAAGCGGTTATCGCATACACAAAGGATCCTAAGTATCAAAGCAAGACCAAACACATCGACATCAAGTATAACTTTGTGAGAGACGTAGTGGCAAGTGGAGAAATAACTTTGCAATACATTCCTACACGTGAAATGATAGTTGATCCTTTTAAGAAGGCTATCTCTAGAGAATTGTTTGAAAAAACATGTTAAGGCTCTAGGTTTGCGTAGAATATGATGATGTTGCAGTATTGTAAAATATATATCCTCTTCTATATAAAACTATTGAATTTATGTTCAAATGTAGTATGCATGTGATATTTTATAAAGAAATAAAGAGTGTCGAACAAGTCGTGAGATTGGCTCTCTCACACGAGCAATCGCCTCTTACGTCGGGGAACGTGAAGAGATGAGTTTCACCACCATTTTATGACTTGTTTTGTGATCCAGACAAAAGTTTCTCTACGAAAATGAGTTTAAGGATCACTGAAGAGAGAAACTAGGGTTAAACATCTGGAGATGTTTAGACCAAGGTCTGTACGATGTTGAATAATCGAAAGAATGAGACACATACACCAATCTAAGATGTAAACTTGTTTCATACCACGTGTGTCAAGCGATCAATGGGTCAATGAAAGAGTATTCCTTGCTTCTTCATTGTGTGAGACCCAGAAAAGTTAAAATGACTTTTTCATTGAAATATCCTTTGACCTTTTGTTGTTTCTTGAAGTTTCAAATCGGTGTTGCTACTTTAGCATGTTACTAATAGCCATGAGCGATTCAGCAATGCAATACATGTATAGGAAAGCAGTTGATATGAAACAGATAGGTTCGAGTAGAAAGGGAAGATGAATAAATGAACAATTCAACGTGTATACATAAGCCGGCTATTACACTTGAGTGTAATTGTGTATATAAAGTTAAATATGAACTCTAGTTAATATCCTTGAGAGGATGAGGGATCAAATAAGTAACTACTGAAGTAGTGAATGAAGTTTGGGGTATTGTGAGTAATAGTGTTCTTAAAATAATAGTGAATTCTTTCTGCATGTCATTGAATTCTTATGTACGGCTTGTAAAACCTTAAAGGTAAGCTCTTAATGCTCACAGGTCACACAAACTATTTGTTGTATGAATTGTGTGTTTGATTGATGTAATGTTGACTTGGGTCTTGTCCACCATGTGCGAAGTGAAAGATGTAAGTTTTGGGTCGTGGATCGCCCATGTGAACCGACCTGACCCGACCCAATCTGTTTCATGTCTTATCCAAATTAATTAATTAATAATTAATTGGATAAATCCTTTTAAAGGATAAGGCAGAACAGTTACAAAGTAATTGTTCAACCTCTCCTTAAAAGACTCCTAGTAGGAGTGTTTTCCTAAGGGATGTAAAAACTGAAAAAAGATGCAAGTAAAGAGAGGAAAACGTGTGAAACAGAAAACCGAAAATAAGCGATCAGTAAAAAACAAGAATTGAGTTTCTGAGACGAATCAATCAGTACACAGAAGAAGACTTCTAGTTTGTGAATAAATCTTTGTTTCCCAGTGATTCAAAGACAGATTTGAGTGCAATCCTGTCAAAGAAGCAAATCAACGACTTCCGCTGCGAATTACAAGGTACGTAACTCGTTGAATACCTTAATATTCCTATAGACGCCCTAACACACTCATGGTATCATTATGAATATGCAAACTAAACCTGTCTAGAAATTACATCATCAGTTGAGATGGAATATAATTACATCACGATGCCTAAAGACAATATAATAGACTGTTATGCTAGAGGCATCAAATAGCTAGTACATAAACACAGGTTAGGACCTCATGGTCTAATCTAGATACTTCAAAATTGAACTAGTCTACTTAAACGGTTTAAATGCATACAAGCAAGCAAGCAACACGTATGTCCTACCAACCTGAGTTATGGTGTGGTGGTTGAATTGTTTCACCCTTAACCAAAGGTTTCAAATTCAAGCTCTAGGTATAGAGAAAATTATGTTGGGAGTGCCACCCTCAAATGGATCTTGCAATGCACGATTTAGATTTAGTCGGAGCTTCAATACGAGCTTCCGATACCAAATGAGAAACCAAGAAAAAAAACATGTATGTCATGCCTTGAAGGGAAAACAAGCGAATTAAAACTGAAAATCTCACTTTTATTTCAACGGGTAGGCAAACCTTGGGGCCAATGGTTTGATATCTGAAATTTGATTACATGAACGAGTTACTGTTACCCATAAGTTACTAGAATTCAATTCAATACTCAAAATTGGATTAATTTTAATATCAATTGTTAAGTCAAATCAATGATTTTCTAATTCTAGGTTTTGATCTAAAATTCATCTTAGATCTTGGGTTTCAATCCCAACATGCTAAAGAGTTCAAAAATATTATATAAGTTCTTATCTTATTTTAGCAAATCACTATAGTTTATCTAAATTCTTAATTAATCTATAGGACTACCTAAAGAAACTATTTTTTGTGGTTTTAACTAGTTGAAAGCAAAATAATTCAAAATGAAGTATAGAACACACAAACTTTTATGTACAATAGTTAAATAATATGTACAAATATCAAATTCAGAATTCAATCATTAGCATTTAACATTAGAAAAAATTTACAGAAATCTCACATTTTAATTTACTTATTACCATTATCCTCTATAAATTTTACAAATATTCAAAGTCCTTCATTTTCGCGCATCAGATTAGTGTATCACGTATAAAATGTACATCAGATTAGTGTATCATGTATAAAATGTAATGTATTTTACTTAACGATTAATGTATCTCGCGCATCAGATTAATGTATCAACGCTTATATTATTGTATCCGTTTGAGGGATTTCTGTAATTATAAACTTTTAAGGAATAAATTATAATTTTACCTTAAAAGTATGTGATTTCTGTAATTTGCCCTTAAAATTATTACTATAAAATTCAAAACTCATAAAAATTTTATTGTGACTTAACTACTTATTTAATTTAGGTAATATTTCACTTATGCTAGTTGAGAAACGAAAGTCCATAAAACTCAATTTGGCCCTTCTCACTTTCACAATTTTTTAGCAGGAGTAAGAATTTTTTTTATTTTTTATTTTCATATCATAGCAAAATATGCATAATTTTTCACATTATACGATGAGTATGTTTGATACAAATATAACACAAAACAGCTGAACCAATACAAAAGGCAAGTAAAAATAACCGGCCCGGGAAGTGACGTCACTTTCCGGCGCCGGGAATGTCGTATTACAAGAGAAACTAAAAATCATGAAGGAACAATAACAGTACGCATCATATCCTTGAACTCGAAGAAATCAACGCGACCATCATGATCCTGATCAACTGACGAAATCATCATCTCCACTCTATCAATTTCACTTCCTTCCGGCAATCCCAATTTCTCTAGCACCACCTGCAATTCCTTCGCCGATATGAATCCATCGCCGTTCTCATCGAAAACATCAAACGCTTCTTTCAGATCCGATTCATCCTGTGTCGGATCCGGATTCAACCCAAGCTTACCTTCACATGTTGACCCGAAGAAAACGTCGTTCAGAGATCGATGCAAAGCTTCGAAATCTTCGAATCTAAGACCTGTGTTTTCTGGTTTGATGTGTAATTTCACCATGGATTCAATTTCTGATAGATCGGCGTCTAATCCAAGCAGGTTAAGTGCTTGGCTGAGTTCTTCAACGCTGATCAAACAATCGTGGTTTCTATCGAACACATCGAAGATCCGACGAAGACGAATGGAATTCAGGCTCGGGCTACGGAGACGGAACGACGATGAGGAAGAAGGCTTGAGTTTTCCCCGGGTAAGACTTTGTTTAAATTCATCCTTATTCTCATCTTGCACTGATCCCATCGGACTTGTTTTACACGATCGAATCGATTGAAATTAGTGTCGTATTTCTTCAGATTTTCAGAAAAAATGAAAGTAAACTAGTTAGAACTTAGACGAGGTAATGGACATGAAGAAAATGTGAGTAAATATAGTAGTTAGCTTGCAGAAGTAGTAACAGTGTGGAGATATGGGAAGTTGGAATTTGACAGAAGAAAATGATGGGTGGGCGGGGCATTAAAATTAAAAATGGGAGTAGGCAACCCATAATTAATTAAAGATGCCCGCGCATTTGACTTGTCCCATGTGTTACGCGTATTAATAGCGAACATGGCACAAATAGTACCTCATGTTGGATGTTATTTTAATCGATTTGTCTCTGAATATGTTAAATTGACAATCCTATTAATAAGATATTTATTATTGTTTTAATCTTTAACAATTTATTTTCAGTTTAATCAATAAGAAAATGCTCATATAATATCATGTATGCATGATGTTCATAAAATTAAACTAGTAACAAAAGTAGAAGTACTACACAAATTTTTGCATTGATCATTTTTGTTTAACATAGAATTGATCAAATTCCTTCTAAAAACTAAATAAATTGCGAAAATAAGATTAGTTGTTTTTCTTTCTTTTTTTATGACAAGAAAAATTCGCAGTCACTATCCATTGGGTGCGCACAGGGTGAAATTTATGCTCTTATGCAATAGCTCGCAAACCACATAGGAGAGGTAACACGCACTAGGCAAGCCCGGTGCGACGAGCTCAACCCAGAAGGCAAACCCCTTGCTTTCGCTGGCAATGGGTTTCGAACTTGAGACCTCCAACATAGAAGTCCCAAGCCCAAATTATTGGGCCACCCTGAAGGGTAGATTAGTTGTTTTTCTTTGTCACAATCAAATCTATAAAATTGAGAAGAGAGACGGCAACACTAGTTTGTATCGAGAATAGAGAAGGTGTCGTAATATAGAGGAACAACGGCTAGTTCATGTTGCCTAAGGCCGAAAGTAATACTAAATTTTAGGAAATAAGGTTGGTAAAATATTAAATTCACGATTATCTAATTAGGAGTAAAATAATGATTTATAATAATTTAGTGTGTGATCAATCGGTTTAACCAAAATCATAAAATTGAAAATCGAACAAATAACAAATTGATGATGATGTCACACATCGCATTTGGGCGGCATGGATGAAATGGAGGCTTGCCTCTAGAGTCTTGTGTGATAAGAAGGTACCCCTAAACTTAAAGGTAAGTTTTATAGAGTGGTGGTTAGACTGTCCTTGTTGTATGGAGTGGAATGTTGGCTAGTCAAGAACTCATATGTTCAGAAGATAAATGTTGTGGAGATGGGGATGTTGAGATGGATGTGTGGATATATATACTAGGAGTGACAAGATTAGGAATGAGGTTATCCGAGAGAAGGTAGGAGTGGCCTCTGTGATGACAAGATGAGGGAAGTGAGGTTGAGATGGTTTGGGCATGTGCAAAGAAGGTGTGTTGACGCCCTAGTGAAGAGGTGTGAGAGGTTGGTTGTAGGGGGTATCTAGAGGGGTAGAGGTAGGCCGGAGAAGTATTGAGGAGAGGTGATTAGATAGGACATGGCACAACTTCATATTTCTGAGGACATGACTTTAGATAGGAAGGAGTGGAGGTTACGTACTAGGGTATACCGTAGAAGGTTAGTTGAGGTGAATGGTTGGCATGTCGTGCGCTGGTTTTGTCTTGTTAGTGCATGTCATAGTACTAACCGTACCTTTGTAGTTCTTGTTGTATGTTGTGTACTGTGTTTTTGATTACCACACTGTTTTTTTTATTGTTATTGTTTCTTTCTTTCTTTTAGATTGTTATTATTTCTTTTTTATTGTTATTGTTTCTTTCTTTCTTTTAAATTGTACCCTACTTTTCTTACTAATGGTTATGTTTTTTTCGTTTTTTACTTGGGTTCGATGCACTTGAGTTGAGTGTCTTTAATTTTGGAAACGATTTCTCTACCTCCTTGAGGTAGTGGTAAGGTCTGCATACATTTTACCCTCCTCGGACCCCATTTAGTGGGATTTCATTGAGTATGTTATTGTTGTTTAACTTCAACTTTTCACATGACATGTTTAAACCATAAAATCAAAAGACATTTTGATATATTTAACATATCTTTTAATATACGACCGTAAGATTCAATCTCTTTTAATGTAATTCAAATATGACAAGTATTAGTATATAGTGAAAAACTTTTCACTCTTTGTTAATGTGCATATAGTAATAGTATAGCATATATCCGATAATTACTATAACACTCTTTGTTAATGTACATATTTATTATTGTTAAAAGTTATTTTTGTTATAATGCATGACCTAATACTTAATTAATAGAAATAGTGTGATAAAATAGTTATGTTAATTAATATTTCTTTTAATAATGTGTTGAGTTCAAATATGAAAAGTAAAAATAAATCGACATTATTTTTCTTACCATAACGAGGTGGGTGAGGGGTGGCTTATAGTCGTAGTCTCCTAGAAGTTGTATTTTTTTTCTTTCCCAACTTTTGAAAAATAAGAAAGGAGTTAGTCAGCGATTGACCTTATCAATGTAATTACCTTTGAATTCTTCGACGGCGTGCACCAGTGACAAAAGAATAAGCATATGCTTTTCTAAGAATCATTTGACATTTCATTATTCATTAATTTTACTCCTTTTGATTCATTTTATTGATCATTATTTTTACATGTTTTAAAAAATAATAATTTAATTAACTTATTTTTATTATTCAGTTTAATATTATCATATTAATCTATTTTCGTATATATTCAAAGTAATAAAGATGAAAATGAATAATTACTTATATTTTAATTTTTTAAAATAATAATTATGTTGAATCAACTACTTTTAATAAGCACGATAGTTAAAATAGAACGAAAGGGACTATCTTCCTATGTTATTTGTGATGTTGCATTCTTTTTTATTGGTGTTGATGATATTGACATATTCAAAATTTGAAATAAAATACGGACCTCAAGTATATTTATATATTATTTGAGTCCTAAATTCAATTTTTATAGCTTCAACCCAACTCATGTATTCATTTAATAAAAATAAAGAATTCATTACAATGTTAAAATGTAAAACTTATAAATTTCAAATTCTAAATCTGTCTCAATACGTTCAACCTATAAGCAGAGGTGTATCCAGAATTTTGACATGATGGGTGCACTATTATAAAAAAAGTTGATATATGATATAAATTTGATCGGTTCGACATTTAGGTTCTTACTACTAAAAATCATTAAAATTTTAAAATTATAGGTCTAAAATTAATATATATATTAAATTAATTAAAATGCTAAAAGTGCTATCAATTACCACTTAGAGAAGTGTTATCTAATTTTAGAAAGAAAAATAAAACAAGATAAATATAAAATTCAAATTTCTAACCTCTCGGAGAGAGGTGCACCCAGTCATAATCGTGTTATGTGATACTTCGAGTGTGGGTTCACACATCTATATTTCAATAGTTTTTTAAAATATAACACTATTATATATAATCTCGGGAGGGGACCATGAATTCACGTGAACCCGGTGAACCCCCTTTAGATACGCCTCTGCCTATAAGTTATAACTTAATCTTAGAGTGACAAGATTGGTTAGCTAGAGTTCCGTTGCGGATATCCAAGTACAAATCGCATTTGGAGGAAGCTTTGATCTTGATTTTAAACAACACATTTAGTTTTACTTTGCCCTTCAGTTTCATGTAAAGAGTTAATTGTAACATCCCCTTTTCAACTACGTCTGAAAACAAATTAGGATTCGACGATATCTGATTCGCCATAATTATCAACGTGAAGTTCATCGTTGTCGTGGTCCGTGCCCCGATTTTCCCCGCCGGGATGTGAACATCTCCTATTTCTTGGCCCCCATACTCGATATAAGGATTGATGTCTTCGTATTGAAAACTGACCCTGTTGACAGAAATGGACCTAGAGTGTTAGAAGTTGGTTCGATTGTATCGTTTATTTTCAAATCATATGGTAATTATGTAGTAATCTAGTGAAAAATGGTAATTATTGTGCTGATATGCAATTTTTAATTTCTATCAATTCAAATCAAAGTATTGATTGTTAAACCATTTAATTAATCGAGTATGGTGCTCAACTGGACTGTTACTTCATATATTTCGAAGATAATATAGTTTGAACAACAACTTAGATATAATATAATAATGGGAAACATACGTAAATATGCTATATTAAGAAAAAATTTATCATTTATAGTAATAATATTTTTTTTTACTTGATCATTTTTAATACATTTATAATACATATTACAGAGAACAATCTATAAAACACATATAATACAAGTTTTATTGATGAACAATTATATTTATCACACACTTTAATACATTTATAATACACTGTGTCAATTTCTTACCAAACAAGCATAATATATTTTAAAACAGTTATAATACATATATATTGCATACATAATTCACTTTTAATACATATTACATATTTATCATAGTAATGTTATATATTGCTATAAATGATAATAAATAATAAGTATCGTTAAAATTAGTAATTATTTATTAAAAGATACCAATTCAAGTAATTTATCCATATAATTATGTAAAGGAATCTAAAATGCATATTTAAGTTAATTCAAGGTTAAATATGTTTACTGAATTATTGCAAAGACAAAAGTCATAATTTATTAAGTACTCTCTCGGCCATATTACTTGTACCTATTTAACTTGATACATATCTTAAAAGGCTATAAATAAATAATAATTTTATTATATTACCTCTAATTATTATAAGTCAGCCATTACTAAATGAATAGAAAATAATTAGAAATTAACAATAAGTGTAAAATAGATACAAAATGGTAATATATATCTTAATTTTTCAAACAGAATAAGTAAAAATAAATGGAGAGAGTAGCCGTTAAAATTTAAAGTTTCAAAACGTATAAAAAAAAACTTCTTTGTTCATGTGTGTGATGAAATTAAACAACAAAGTAGTATATATATTAAGACTAACAAATTCAAATCATAAATCTGTCTCTACCTGTTGTGGTTCTCAATAGAGACGCTTCCATTCATGGTGATGTTGAGGTTGACCTTGAACCTGGCCGAGTCGACAGACACGGCCAGATCCTCGAGAGTGATGGAATTGAGGTTGATGGTAGGGCGCTTGGGCCTAAAAACAGTGAAATTCAAGATAGTAGAGGTTATAGTGAAAAGCATATAGGCACATAAAATAAACATACATATTTTCTTTTTTCTCTTGTGTC